ATTAGTACACACTTGTACTAAGTAAGGGTATATGCAAGCAAAAACAAGGGACATGAATGAGAAATAATAGATCTTTCCTAACAACATGATTTTTGGAAGTCAAGTCAGTGAACTTGCCAAATTGAGATTGGGAAAGTTATGCCATGAGAGTGACATGCATCATTATAGTTATCGTATGGCACACAACACATAAAATCTTCATATAGCACATAATATATAACACATAGCTTCTTTCATATTACTTATTCATATGCTATGAGACCTTGTTATCATAGACTTGACCTTAAGAGTTTCCAAAATGAGGGCTCAACATATGGGACCTCAACTAGGGAGCCTTCTTTAGCAAACACAAAGTCTGCTTCATTCCTTCATACGTATTTCATTTCAATTCTTTCATAGGCCAGTGCGAACACCAGTAATACCTAGGATGCAGTTTAAGAATTTCATCAGGTTTGTTGTGCAATGATCAGGTTTAACCTAATGTCATTACCTGAATCTAGCTCACCTCTTGATTATCCTATCCTAACACCTTCGGTATCATTAATTTTTTTATATGATTCATTTGAGGCTGATCTCATTAATTCATTGGGAACTTTAACTTTAACCGACATAGATCATGTGACCATCATGAAATCCAGTGTCTCCCCCACACCGAAAAGAGGTGGAATCACCGGCCAAAGTGACTCAATAACATGCTAGAGTATATGGGAATTTAAACGTGCCAGATCCCTATAGTGGCAATATAGGTTCAAAGACTAGGAGATGTATAAAATCCTAAAATCATTTTTGGTTTTTCATTGATTGAAAACTGCATGTAAACATTTGGAATAGTTCCAATTGTACATAGATGAATGATGAGATTTTGAAGAAAGAGAAATACATTTAAAGTTAGAGAAAAATATTTTTGTATATGTGTTAGCTTTTTACGAACTTTGGAAACAGCAAAGAAGATAAGTTCCATTCAATCGACATAATAATCTCATTTAAATCAGACAAAAGATAATCTTCCCTTTCAAATTCATATAACTCATTGCATATTTAATCTAATATTATTTTACTAAAAAAAATATTTTGCGTGACATACACGTGCGTTGCACGTGTTCTAGAACTGGTATTATAAATATTTTCTTTTTCATCCAAAAGAGTAAAAAACTAATTAGTCAAATTCAAGTGATACACGTTTCTTTTCGAGATTCAAATATTATAAATTTGATCAGTATTATTTTAAGCATTTGACATAATACAAAACACAAACTATTTATTTAACAATTGATCTAATTTAATATATCTTCAAATAAAAGTTAAAATATAGTGTTTTTACAAAAAAAAACTGCATTATCTATTTGAGTTACGTATCAGATAACTATTGGATGTACTATTGTACAAATGTACACCTCAGGCACACCACACATATAATAATAAAGCCTAAGTTTCTCCGTCAAATTTTATTGTTGCACATCTAAATCCTTGCACGGAGTACAAGTGTTAGGATTTTCTTCTTCAAGGTTTCTACTTAAATACGTTTCCTCTCTATGTTAAATACTTCACTCATATCCTTTTTTTTATTGTGAATTGTTCTCTAATGTGTCAAGAGAAGAAAAAATGGGGGTTGCTTATGGAAGTCGTCAATCACAAATTTTTCAATCTGCTGGATAGCTTAAACAACTACTCCCTAAATATGGTATGCACACGTTCTGTGCTTTTTAATAGCGTATATTCGATTAGAAGGGGAAATAACTTCTTTTTAAAAATATTTTTTCGTGTTGCTTTGAAAATGAATTGTAATTACCACTTAGATTGCTAGAAATTATAAATGCAAAAATCATTTTTGGTTTTCATTGATTGAGAACTACATCTAAACATTTAGAATAGTTTCAATTATAGATTGATGAATGATGAGATTTTGAATAAAGAAAAATACATTGAAAGTTAGAGGAAAACTATTTTTGTCACATGTGTTACATTTTTACAAACTATGGAGAGGGTAGAGAAGATAAGTTCCATTGAATCGATATAATAATCCCATTTAAATCAGAAAAAAGATATTCTTCCCTTTAAAATGCATATAACTCATTGCATATTCAATCTAATATTATTTTTTACAATACATTATTTAGCGTGAAATACACGTGCGCTGAACGTGTTTGAGAACTTGTATTATATATATTTTCTTCTTAATCCAAAACATTATTAACTTTATGTATCCAGATTAAAGGGATACATGTTTCTTTTGAGATTCAAATAGTATAAATTTTGATCAGTATTATTTTATGCATTTAACATAATACAAATCATAACTTCTAATACTTTTCATCTATATTTTCTAAATAACTATTTATTTAACAATTGATCTAATTCAATCTAGCTTCAAATAAAAGTTAATATATAGTGTTCTTACCAAAAATAAATAAATAAATCTATCTGAACTGTCTATTTGAGTTACGTGTTAGATAATTATCGGATGTAATATTATACAAATGTACACCTCATGCACAACAGACATAGAATAATAAAGTCTAAGTTTCTCTGTCAAATTTTATTGTTACAAGTCTAAATTCTTTCATTGGGTAAACGTGTTAGGATTTTCTTCTTCAAGGTTTCTACTTAAATATGTTTCCTCTGTATGTTATATACTTCACTGGTATCCTTTTTTTGATTGTGAGTTGTTCGTTAAAGTGAAGAGAGAAGAAAAAATCGGGAATGCTTAAGGGAGTCATCAATCACAAATTTTTCAATTTGCTGGATTGCTTAAACAGCTGCTCCCTAAATATGGCATGAAAACGTTGTGTGTTTTTTGATAGCGTATATTCGATTAGAAGGGGTAATATTTTTTTTTTGAAAAAAAATCGTGTTTCTTTGAAATTGAATTGTAACTATCACTTAGATTGCTAGAAATTATAAATCCGAAAATCATTTTTGGTCTTTCATTGATTGACAACTACATCTAAACATTTAGAATAGTTTCAATTATAGATTGATTAATCATGAGATTTTGAAGAAAGAGAAATACATTGAAAGTTAAAGGAAAACTATTTTTGTCACATATATTATATTTTTACAAATTATGGAGAGGGTAGAGAAGATAAGTTCCATTGAATCGATATAATAATCCCATTTAAATCAGAAAAAAGATAATCTTCCCTTTAAAATACATATAACTCATTGCATATTCAATTTAATATTATTTTTTGCAAGAAATTATTTAGTGTGAAATACATGTGCGCTGAACGTGTTCGAGAACTAGTATTATATATATATTCTTCTTGATCCAAAACATTATTAAATTTATTTATCCAGATTAAAGTGATACATGTTTCTTTTCGAGATTCAAATATTATAAATTTTGATCAGTATTATTTTAAGCATTTAACATAATACGAATCACAACTTCTAAAACTTTTCATCTATATTTTCTAAATAACTATTTATTTAACAATTGATCTAATTCAATCTAGCTTCAAATAAAAGTTAATATATAGTGTTCTTACCAAAAATAAATAAATAAATCTATCTGAAATGACTAAATGAGTTACGTGTTAGATAATTATCGGATGTAATATTATACAAATGCACACCTCATGCACAACAGACATAGAATAATAAAGTCTAAGTTTCTCTGTCAAATTTTATTGTTACAAGTCTAAATTCATTCACTGGGTACACATGTTAGGATTTTCTTCTTCAAGGTTTCTACTTAAATATGTTTCCTCTGTATGTTATATACTTCACTGGTATCCTTTTTTTGATTATGAGTTTTTCATTAAAGTGAAGAGAGAAGAAAAAATAGGGGATGCTTAAGGGAGTCATCAATCACATCTTCCTCAGTCTAATGGATTGCTCAAACATTTGCTCCGTAAATATGGTATGAATAAGTTCTTATTTTTTGATAGCTTATATTATATAAGGAGGAAAAATATTTTTTCAAAAATATTTTTTCGTGTTGCTTTGAAATTGAATTGTAATTATCACTTAGATTGCTAGAAATTATAAATTCGCAAATCATTTTTTGATTTTCATTGATTGAAAACTACATCTAAACATCTGGAATAGTTCCAATTGTAGATTGATGAATGATGAGATTTTGAAGAAAGAGAAATACATTGAAAGTTAGAGAAAAATATTTTTGTATCTGTGTTAGATTTTTACGAACTTTGGAACTAGCAGAGAAGATAAGTTCCATTCAATCGACATAATAATCTCATTTAAATCAGACAAAAGATAATCTTCCCTTTCAAATTCATATAACTCATTGCATGTTTAATCTAATATTATTTTTTTTTAAAAAGTATTTTGTGTGACATACACGTGCATTGCACGTGTTCTAGAACTGGTATTATAAATATTTTCTTCTTCATCCAAAAGAGTAAAAATTTATTTACTCAAATTCAAGTGATACATGTTTCTTTTCGGGATTCAAATATTCTAAATTTGATTAGTATTATTTTAAGCATTTGAATTAATAAAAAACGCAAACTATTTATTTAACAATTGATCTAATTTAATATATCTTCAAATAAAAGTTAAAATATAGTGTTCTTACAAAAAATTTGTATTATCTATTTGAGTTACGTATCAGATAACTATTGGATGTACTATTGTACAAATGTACACCTCAGGCACATCACACATAGAATAATAAAGCCTAAGTTTCTCCGTCAAATTTTATTGTTGCACGTCTAAATCCTTGCACGGACTACAAGTGGTAGGATTTTCTTCTTCAAGGTTTCTACTTAAATACGTTTCCTCTCTAGGTTATATACTTCACTAGTATCCATTTTGTTATTGTGAACTATTCTTTAAAATGTGGGATAATGCACAAGTACACCCTCAACCTATGCCCAAAATCCCAGAGACACACTTATACTATACTAAGGTCCTATTACCCCCCTGAACTTATTTTATAAGTAATTTTCTACCCCTTTTTAGCCTACGTGGCACTAGTTTGAAAAAAAAAGTCAACCATCGTTGGACCCACAAGATAGTGCCACGTAGATCGAAAAGGGGTAAAAAATTATTAATAAAATAAGTTCAGGGGGGTAATAGGACCTTAGTATAGTATAAATGTGTCTCTGATATTTCGGGCATAGATTGAGGGGGTACTTGGCCATTATCCCTTAAAATGTAGAGAGAAGAAGAAATGGTGGATGCTTATGGAAGTTGTCAATCACAACTTTCTCAGTCTGTTGGATTGCTCAAACAACTACTCCCTAAATATGGTATGAACACGTATTGTGTCTTTTGATAGCTTATATTCAAGTTGGAGGCAAAATTATTTTTCATGTTGTTTTGGAAATAGAATTGTAATTATTGCTTTGATTGCTAGAAATTATAAAATTCGGAAATCATTTTTGGTTTTTCATTGATTGAGAACAACATGTAAACATTTGGAATAGTTCCAATTGTACATAGATGAATGATGAGATTTTGAAGAGAGAGAAATACATTGAAAGTTAGAAGAAAATATTTTTGTCATATGAGTTAGATTTTTACAAACTTTGGAGACAATAGAGAAAATAAGTTCCACTGAACCGACATAATTATCCCATTTAAATTAGATAAAAAACAATATTTTCTTTCAAATTCATATAACTCATCGACCATTTAATCTAATATTATCTTTTGGAAAAAATATTGATCATGAAATACACATGTGTTGCACGTGTTCGAGAACTAGTTATATAAATATTTTCTTCTTCATCCAAAAGAGTATAAATTTTATTTATCCAAATTCAAGTGATACATGTTTCTTTTCGAGATTCAAATATTATATATTTCCTCTGTATGTTATATACTTCATTGATATCCTTCTTTTGATACTGAGTTGTTCATTAAAGTGTAGAGAGAAGAAAAAATGGGGAATGATAATGGGAGTCATCAATCACAACTTCCTCAGTTTACTAGATTGCTCAAACAACTGCTCCCTAAATAGGGTATGAACAAGTTCTGTGTTTTTTGATAGTTTATATTAAATTAGGAGGGAAAATAATTTTTCAAAATTATTTTTCGTGTTGCTTTGAAATTGAATTGTAATTATCACTTAGATTGCTAAAAAATATAACGCAAATTATTTTTGATTTTTCATTGATTACAAAACTACATCTAAACATCTTGAATAGTTCCAATTGTAGATTGATGAATGATGAGATTTTGAAGAAAGAGAAATACATTGAAAGTTAGGGAAAAATATTTTTGTATATATGTTAGATTTTTACGAACTTTGGAAATAGCAGAGAAGATAAGTTCCATTCAATCGACATAATAATCTCATTTAAATCAGACAAAAGATAATCTTCCCTTTCAAATTCATATAACTCATTGCATATTTAATCTAATATTTTTAAAAAAAAAGTATTTTGTGTGACATACACGTGCGTGGCACATGTTCTAGAACAGGTATTATAAATATTTTCTTCTTCATCCAAAAGAGTAATAATTTATTTAGTCAAATTCAAGTGATACATGTTTCTTTTCGAAATTAAAATATTATAGATTTGATCATTATTATTTTAAGCATTTGACATAATACAAAACGCAAACTATTTATTTAACAATTGATCTAATTTAATATATCTTCAAATAAAAGTTAAAATATAGTGTTCTTACAAAAAAAATCTGCATTATCTATTTGAGTTACGTATCAGATAACTATTGGATGTACTATTGTACAAATGTACTCCTCAGGCACATCACACATAGAATAATAAAGCCTAAGTTTCTCTGTCAAATTTTATTGTTGCACGTCTAAATCCTTGCACAGACTACAAGTGTTAGGATTTTCTTCCTCAAGGTTTCTACTTAAATAGGTTTCCCCTCTATGTTATATACTTCACTCGTACGCATTTTGTTATTGTGAACTGTTCTTTAAAATGTAGAGAGAAGAAAAAATGATGGATGCTTATAGAAGTTGTCAATCACAACTTTCTCAATCTGTTGGATTGCTCAAACAACTACTCCCTAAATATGGTATGAACACGTATTGTGTCTTTTGATAGCTTATATTCGAGTTGGAGGCAGAATTATTTTTCATGTTGTTTTGGAAATAGAATTGTAATTATCGCTTTGATTGCTAGAAATTATAAAATCCGGAAATTATTTTTGGTTTTTCATTGATTGAGAACTACATGTAAACATTTGGAATAGTTCCAATTGTACATAGATGAATGATGAGATTTGGAAGAAAGAGAAATACATTGAAAGTTAGAAGAAAATATTTTTGTGATATGTGTTAGATTTTTACGAACTTTGGAGACAATAGAGAAAATAAGTTCCACTGAACCGACATAATTATCCCATTTAAATTAGATAAAAGACAATATTTCCTTTCAAATTCATATAACTCATTGCACATTTAATCTAATATTATCTTTTTGAAAAAAATACTGATCATGAAATACACATACGTTGCACGTGTTCGAGAACTAGTTATATAAATATTTTCTTCTTCATCTAAAAGAGTATAAATTTTATTTATCCAAATTCAAGTGATACATGTTTCTTTTCAAGATTCAAATATTATATGTTTCCTCTGTATGTTATATACTTCATTGATATCCTTCTTTTGATACTGAGTTGTTCATTAAAGTGTAGAGAGAAGAAAAAATGGGGAATGATAATGGGAGTCATCAATCACAATTTCCTCAGTCTACTAGATTGCTCAAACAACTGCTCCGTAAATATGGTATGAACAAGTTCTGTGTTTTTTGATAGTTTATATTAAATTAGGAGGGAAAATAATTTTTCAAAATTATTTTTCGTGTTGCTTTGAAATTGAATTGTAATTATCACTTAGATTGCTAAAAAATATAATGCAAATCATTTTTTATTTTTCATTGATTGAAAACTACATCTAAACATCTGGATAGTCCAATTGTAGATTGATGAATGATGAGATTTTGAAGAAAGTGAAATACATTGAAAGTTAGAGGAAAATATTTTTGTCATATGTGTTAGATTTTTACCAACTTTGGAAATAGTAGAGAAGAAAAGTTCCATTGAATCGACATAATAATCCCATTTAAATCAGTAAAAAGTTAATCTTCCCTTTAAATTTCATAAAAATCATTGTACATTTCATCTAATATTATTTTTTTTTTAAAAAAAAGTATTTAGTGTGACATAAACGCGCGTTTCACGTGTTCAGCAACTAGTATTATAAATATTTCTTCAGTATTAAAAAGTGTATCAAATTTATTTATTCAAATTCAAGTGATTCATATTTCTTTTTGAGATTCAAAATTAAAAATTTGATCAGTATTATTTTTAGCATTTGACATAATACAAAACGCAACTTTTATTGGTTTTCATATATAGTTTCTTAATAACTCTTTATTTAACAATGATCTAATTCAATATAGCTTCAAAAAAAAGTTAAAATATACTTTTCTTACAATAAACAATAAATAAAAACGTCAGGATTATTTATTTGAGTTACGTGTCAGATAACTATCGGATGTACTATTATGCAAAATGTACACCTCATGCACAACAGACATAGAATAATAAAGCTTAAGTTTCTCTATCAAATTTTATTGTTACACGTCTAAATCCTTGCACGGAGGACAAGTGTTAGGATTTTTTCTTCAAGGTTTCTACTTGAATATGTTTCATCTCTATGTTATATACTTCACTTGTATCCTTTTTTTATTGTGAATTGTTCTTTAAAGTGTAGAGAGAGTAGAAAATGGGGGATTCCTATGGGAGTCGTAAATCACAACTTTCTCAATCTGTTAGATTGCTCAATTAACTTCTCTAGATATGGTATGAACATGTTCTGTGTTTTTTGATAGCTTATATTCGAGTTTGAGGCGAAATAATTTTTTAAAAATAATTTTTCATGTGGTTTTCAAATTGAATTGTAATTATCACTTGGATTGCTAAAAATTATAAATCCGGAAATCATATTTGGTTTTTCATTGATTGAGAACTACATCAATGTTGGAGAAAAAAGTATAAGAATCTGGAAATAAAAAGAGAAGGGAAAAACTTATGGGACAACTTTTTAATTTCTAATTGATAGGAAGTTAGGTAATAACAAAATATGCCCATATTATATATAGGCTAAGAAATAAATAACTAATCCTAAAATATAGGTCCTATAACCCACTAAAACACTATTTCTGCAACACTAAGAAACTATCTAACAGAAAGGAGAAGACTAGTTCAACCAAACTAACCAACTTTGTTTTGAATCACTTTTCAACATTCCCTCTTGATTCAAAACTACAGACACAAAACAATTCTCTGAAGTAGCAGAATTTCTCCTTCAATAAAGCCTTTGTCAATATATCAGCCAACTGCTCTTATGTGCTGCAATATTCCAATAATATTTCTTCCTTTGCTATCAACTCACGGATGAAATGATAACGAACATCAATATGCTTTGTCCTGCTGTGAAATGTTGGGTTCTTTGTCCTGGAAATAGTTGCTTTACTGTCACAAAATATCTGTGTTGCTCCTCTCTGCTCCTGTTGAAGATTGCTAACACTCTCCTTAACCAGACGGCTTGAGAAGCTGCTGAAGTTGCTGCAATGTACTCAGCTTCTGAAGTTGACAATGATGTTGTAGCTTGCTTCTTTGAACTCCAAGTCACCACACCTGAACCTAGAGTGAAAACATTTGCTGAAACACTTCGTCTGTCATCCAATGAACTTCCATAATCGATACCTGTGTACCCACACAATCTGAAATTATTGGTATTTGAGTACCATATGCCATAGTCCAAAGTTCAAGCAATGTACTGCAAGATTCTCTTTGCTGCTCCATAATGTACCAATGAAGGTTGGTGCATAAGCCGTGAAACAACACCAACAGCAAATGCATAATCGGATCTAGTGTGCGTCAATATATTAGACCTCCAACCAAGCTTCTAAACCTCCTCGCATGTGCTAACTCTTCTTCATTCACCTACTGCAATTTTTCATTTATATTCATTGGTGTAGCCGCAGGCTTGCAATTGAGCATGCCAAATTTATTGAGAAGGTCTCTACCATATTTCTTTTGTAAAAGAAATATCCCATCATCCGTTTGGTGGACTTCAAGACCCAGAAAATAATACAATAACCTCATATCCGACATCTCGATCTCATTCATCATTTGAGACTTGAAATTATCCACAAGAGAATTAGAAAAACTACTGTAAATGATATCATCAATATAAAGGCATACAATGCTGAAATCATTACCTTCCTTCTTCAGATATAAGGTGGGTTCATTGTCACTTCTCATGTATCCATTTTCCTAAAAGTAACCATCGATCTTTCTATACCAAGCTCGAGGGGCTTGTTTCAAGCCATACAATGTCTTTTTTAGCTTGAACACCTTTGTTTCATTTCCTTTATCAAACCTTGAGGTTGAGTTACATAGACATCTTCTTGTAAGTCTCCATTTAGAAATGCCGACTTGACATCAAATTGGTAAACTGGCCATTTCAACTTTGCAGCCAATGCTAGAATCAGCCTCACTGTTTCAAATAAAGCTATCGGAGAAAATGTTTCTTCAAAATCAACACCACGCTGTTGTGCATAGCCTTTTGCAACAAGATGAGCTTTGTGCTTTTGTAGGCTACCATCTGCAACAAATTTTGTTTTAAAGACCCACTTCAGACCAATAGCATTTTTCCCTTTTGGTAACTCCATCATTTCCCATGTTCCATTCTTTTCAATGGATTTCATTTCCTCCACCATTGATTTCTTCCATTCTTCTTTTTCTGCGGCTTCTTCATAATTTAAGGGATCTGAGACAGAGAAAGCAAATTGAAAAGTCGCATAAAGGTTATTAGCATACTTGAAATTTGGCGTTCTAAGCCTTGTTGATCTTCTTAATGGAACTAACCATCTAAAGACTCTTCATGAGTTTCTGAAATCGATGAATTTGGCAACTCCATAGAAGAACCTGAAAGTGAACTAGCGGGGGTTAAACCTTTTTCTTCTTCTTCTTCAGTGATTCCAAAAGGCATTGGAATCTCTTGTCGGACCAACTTTTTACTACATTCCCAGCTTGTATTTTCATCAAATATTACATCCCTTCTAACTAATATCTTTACATTAAGAGGGTTATACAATCTATATGCTTTGGATTGAATATAGTAGCCAACAAAAATGCATTTTTCTGATTTGTCATCAAGATTTTGACGAACTTGTGTGTTTATCAACGCATAAGCAACACATCCAAAAACCCGT